ACTGATCCTCCAGCAGGGTCAGTACACACACACTGATAGTTGTTAGTGGAATCAAGTCATAGAGCAGTGAGCAGCTGTGCCGGAGCAGTTGGAGGTTAAGTGGCAGCTTGAGCATGTTTATTAGTCACTGTACAGTTTCCACCCCTTTTTCAGCCTCTGCCGACACCACCCGACAAGATCTTGATGCCGAGTTAAGACTGTGTAAAAGACGTGGACGTAGCCTCTGGGTCTGTAAAGTGAAGCAGAAGTGCCTTAAACCTGCAGACACTCTAATGGCCAGCAGGGGGCGACTCCAGTCCAATTGTATAGACGTCTATGAGAAAAGGCGCCTACGTCTCACCTGTTTGTTACCTCAGTAAACATTTTCCCAAAGAGTTTATGGTCTCAATTACTAGTTCCAAGCCTTCTTAAACACAGCTTAATGTTCGTTTTATAAATTATGGTCCCACGTAGAGTCAAATGGACGATTACGCTGGGCTGTGCTTCAGGGCGTGGCTCATCTGTGATTGACAAGTGACTACCATGGTGAGTCAATCAGGATAGAGCTGTTACAATAATTGCCTTCCCCGGTTTCACCCTCTCGTCCAAGTAAGGCGCCCGGGAACGCTGCTCAGCCTTGCTTCTATTTTCCCCCAGTGGCCACTCGCGGTATTGCAGCGAGAAAATCCCCTGCAGCCTTTAGGCCACTATTGTGAAAGAGCCGCCTGTAAAACCGTCGACAGGACACATTGAACTGCAAAATAGATCAATTATGACTCTTTTTATTATACATTTTTCATCCATGGAGGTTTTACATTTGTAAAACTTTCCTCCAGGCTAAAATTTATGATGTCATCACAGTGCAGTCTGTGGGCAGAGTGGGAACTCGTGGGCGGAGCAGGTGGGAGAAACACTACTGCGCATATTCAGTGGGCTGTAAAACGGGAAGCTAGAAACCTTTGGCATATACGCCGTGGATGTACCTGGATACAGCGTTGGCGGCAGGCCCTCGTTCATTCCTGTAAAAGTTGCTCAGTGGTGCATGAAACCAAAAATCTCTGAACCAGATGACCGGCGCTACTTCTGCATCACTGGGCATATACAGCTTGCGCACTAAAGACTTTCACAGCTACTTCTGGTTTAGTGCTACGCTAACTTGATTAATCTTGTGGCTCCCAAAATGGATCAAATGAAAGTGTAACAAGCCACTTCACAGGGGTTGTGAGGCTTTAAAAAAAAGGATCTATCAATTTACAGACGTCTCTTTTCCAATGTAGGGCTAAGAGGAAAAGTCGTTCAGGGACCAATGACATCACGTGACGAACTCAGGAGCACCGTTGCACTTCCTGGGGGCCTAATATACGTAAGCAATTCTCACTGGACTGAATAGGCTCCATCTTTAGGTCCAGCATCCACGTCTAGTAATACATCCATGGTCCAAATATGGTCACTTCTGGCCCAAAAAAGAAAAACAAAGATGGTGATGGCCAAAAGGCTTCAAAATGGTAGTCCACAAACCAACAGGTGACGTCACAGTGGCTACGTCCGCTTGTTTTATACAGTCTGAGATGCTTTTTGGAAAGTTGTCATGTTTTAAAGAATGTGTTTCATTTCCTCCGACTTTTCCCTGATTTCCATGCCATCCTGTCGAGGAGGATGAGGAACACTGATGTTGATGAACCCCATACTGATGCTTAAAGGGAAGCCTGTCTTAAAACAAACCGACACACTGTACTGTTAAAAGAATAATCTGTGGCTGTGATGACTCCTGTTGATTTGGCTCCTCGAGGAGTCTGATGTGATCAAAACCCACTGTCCTGCTCTGTGCAGAATCTAATTTGAAGTTTATCTGGGGTGAATTTGAAGCTTCAGCTAAACTTAAGAACACATTTTGACATAAAATGAGAGCTGTGTATTTTGTCCCCAGTGTGAACAGGAGGATTACAGCAACCAACAACAGTTGCGGTGTACTTACAGGCATGTGAGTGTTGTGCTAAGATAGACTTGGAAAGAAGAGTGAACCTGTCCTTTGAGGCCCATGACCACTCTACTGTAGAGACATCCAGACCTGCAGCACTCTCCCTTTTTAACCTCCAACTTAGTCTTTTTTTAATATTCAGTTGATGTCACCTGTATTCCAACAAATTGTGCCATTGTTTTTTTTTTTTTTTAAATAAACTTGTTTTCTGTGTTTCATTCATGACAGCAGCACCACGTGGCCTCGCCAGTAATCCACATTTTTATGGAAATGACTCAACCAATAACACGTGAGGCGCAACATAACAAGTGTTTGTGTCAGTGGTTTATTAGGAGGGACGGCACGGAGTATGGGTGACATATGTTAAAGTACATTTAGCTAGTCTTTGACACGTGAGGGTACACCAGCCCTTCTGGCAGCGAAGTAAGAAATATTTAGGTAAGATATTTATTGAGGATTTCTTTTTTTTTTTTTTTTAAGATTATCTTCTTTCATTTCTTGACTGTTTCCTGGCTTTCTTTAATTTGACTGATGCATCCCAGACGGTTTCTGTAGTGCTGATGTTAGTGTTGTGAACCTTGTAAATCATGAAATAACGCCTCCTGCTGTCCACCTTCCACTTCCAGGCAGCGCTGGGATCAGCTGCAGTACCATCTAATCAGGAATTGGATAGTAGGACATTTAAAATAATAATAAGAAAATTGTTTGGGGAGGTAACAAATGTTGAAAATGTCTGACCCCACTCACCCACCCCTCTCACAAATTCAGCTGTGTAAGAATATTGCAGACTCGTGTCTTTCCAAAGGGATAGATGTTTTATTGTTTGTTGTGAGCTAATGTGTACTTAAAAAAGAAACAGGACAAAGGTTTGTGAGGCTCGATGAGACTTGATATGGGAAATGAAAACTTAAAATATGCTGTTGTTTCACATTGACCTTTTCATTTAAGGCCCAGTCATTTGTTACAACTGTACTATTCTACTTTTTCATTAAAATATGAAAAAAGAAACCTGTTTAATGATTCCTTAAATATTTCAGTAGTGAGACGGGTTAGTTGTAATAAAATGTTTATACTTTGTACTAAGTGAATCAAATATTGTCTTAAAACTGTTTCTAGACTACATCTGAAGGACAGTTCAGGTATATAATGTGCACAAATGTTCTGTATTTAAAGGTCCAGTGTGAAGGATTTGATTTAGGGGGAAACACAGGCAGAAATGGAGCATGATATAAGCATGTTTTCTTTAATACACGTTCTCAGTGGGTGTTGACCTCCACCAGGGTTGTCTTTTGTCACCGATCCTGTTTGTAATCTTCATGGACAGGCTCTCAAGGTGCAGCCAGGAGGAGGAAAGGGTCCAGTTTGGGGATCTCAGAATTGCATCCCTGCTTTTTGCAGATAATGTGGTTCTGTTGGCTTCATCACACCGTGACCTCCAGCGTGACCTGGGACGGTTTACAGTAAGTGGGGAGCGGTTGGGATGAGAGTCAGCATCTCCAAACCTGCGGTCATGGTTCTCTCCTGCAAGACAATTGCTCCCTCTGGGTTTGGGGAGGGTTACTGTCCCAAGCAAAGGAGTTAAAGTATCTCAGGGTCTTGTTCACGAGTGAGGGTGGAGTGAAATGGACAGGCTGTTTGGCGCCACGCTGGACCTTCGTGGTGAAGAGGGAGCTGAGCCAGAAGGCAAAGCTTTACTGGTTCAGCTACATGCCAACCCTCACCTATGGTCATGAGCTCTGGGTAGTGACTGAAAGAATCAGATCACAGATACAAGCGGTTGAAATTAGTTCACTTAGAAGGGTGTCTGGGCTCGGCCTTAGAGATAGGGGGAGGAGCTAGGACATGTGGAGGGAGCTCAGAGTAGAGCTGCTGCTATTCTGACTGAAAGGAGGATTTCAAGTCATTGTAGACAATCAGAGTCCTAACGGTGTAGTATTTAAAATGAATGTCCCACCCCCCATGTGAGTTTTCTTTGAGACCATTTGCACTCATTATATAAAACCTAACATTTAAAATAGCTTAAGTAGACGTTAAACAAAATAAAGACTTTTTATTTTCATTAACAAATGTTTTGTGTGTAAATGACCCTTAGTTGAGCATAGAATTTAAATGCTTACAAAATACATGCCCAAGACAAACCAACAACAAATTACACAATATTAATATCATATTTAATCTATATAATTTATATAAGGCTTATATAAGGTTTTCATTGCTTTACCATTCTTCAGTCTGTGTAATGTTTCGACATAGTGTCAAAATTCTCTTTTCAGTTTATGTATGTGTGGCTTTGTTTTAGGCCATTTACATTTGTGAATATAAAATGTTCCAAATAAAATAAAGAGGTTCAAAATAAACATTTTTTTGCAATCAATAAAACTCGTATCATGAAAAAGAAATACAGTGTCTCTTTTTAAAAAAATAATAAAATATTTGAACCAGTCAACATCTTAAAGAAATGTTCTAGATATATACAAAATAAATGTTACAAATAATTTCAATTTCATAATTAAAAAACGCACATTTTCCATCAGTTCACCTCTGAATCTAGAGAGCACCTGCTTTACAGAATAATGTATAAATGTAAATGTGTAACTTTAAGTGAGACTTCTGATTTTGTGGGTGTCACAATATTTCTCAAAGTTCCAGTCCGACAGTTATCATTTAAGAAACTTTACTGAACAATTTAGATTTACAACAATAAGATAAGATAAATATTATCAGAGTAAATGGGCATGAAACTGGGTAGAAAAGAAAAAACAGAAAACGAAAAAAAGGATGTCAGCCCCAAATAAAGGACAAAATAAAATAGTTAACAGAAAAAATAAATAAATAAATAAAGATAAAAATAAATAAAACATAAATTAATAAAATAATACAAAACAAAGTTATTTGGTCTTTATTTGAAAGTGAACCGTTTTTATTTTCAGGTTTCAGTCCGAAAATTATTTTAGTGTCCAAAATAAAGCGTGCTACGTCATGACGGCCGCCGACGGTGCGTCATCGCAGTCTCCGCCCTTCTCAGGGAAAGCACACATTCCTATTGTCCAAGATGGCGGCGTAGGTGCAGACCCTCCGCGGCTGACATGTTTTCAAACGTTTTTACGCCTTTATCCCGACATATATGCAACAACCCGGGGCTCGGACTGGAAGCGTGTGTTTGTCGAAGCCGTCGTCTGCCACGTTGTTTCTGCTAACACCCCTGCAGCTCGCCCCCCAGGCCGGATTCCCGCTGCAGGCACCGAAAAGTTTGGGCTCCATCATCCTTTGAAGATGAAGAGGCAGGCCGGGAGAGAGACTAGTCCGTCCAGGGCCGTCGCTAAACGGATACGGGAAAGGGAACGAGAGAGTGCACGTAGGGAGGAGCTGCCGCCGCCGCCGCTGGCTCTGCTGCTGGCGGAGAGCCGGGGATACCACCGACGGAGCCGAAGCAGGGAGCGGGAGAAGCCGCGGCTGAGGGAGGAGCGAGCGGCCGCCCTGGAGCTCCACCACCGACACGAGCTCAGCCTCCTCGGTCGTCCGCCGCTACGGACCACGGCGGTGGAGCTCCCCGCCGCCAGACCGGGCACTCTGGAGTACAAAACGCTGCTCATCAGCAACCTCGGCTCGCAGGTCACGGACGAGGACGTGGAGGACGCGCTGTTTCACGAGTTCAAAAAGTTCGGGGACGTCAGCGTGAAGCTGTCGCACACACCGGAGCTGGGCCGGATCGCCTACGTGAATTTTCGGCACCCGGAGGACGCCAAAGAGGCCAGACACGCCAAATCCTCCAGGTTAGTTTTGGGTGACCGACAGCTTAAAATTGAACCCATGTACGTCAGGAGGCGGAGCGTCACGCCGCCAGATGCTGGATATTTGCCTCTGCACGCACCGTACCCCTACAGACAGCGCTCCCTGTCCCCGCCCGGGCCCGGGGTGAGTAACATCAGAGACATCAGGGCGAGACATTACGCCTTGGAGACCCTGGGTATCAGCAGGGAGAGGGAGAGGCTCTTGGATTATTATGGTATGCTGGATGAGAGGGGCCGGCCCTATGGCTTCCCTCCAATGCCAGTGGTGGAGGATTTAAAACCTGAGGATGATCAGAGGGCGACCAGCAACCTTTTTATTGGCAATTTGGACGGTAATGTTACAGAAGTAGAACTAAGGAGGGGGTTTGACAAGTATGGCATCATAGAGGACGTTGTGATTAAACGCCCAGCCCGTGGACAGGGTGGGGCGTATGCTTTTGTGAAGTTTCAGAACCTGGACATGGCCCACCAGGCCAAGGTGGCCATGCAGGGGCGGCTTATGGGCGGAAATCCAATAAAGATTGGCTATGGCAAAGCTAACCCCACCACACGGCTCTGGGTGGGCGGCCTTGGGCCTGGAAACTCCCTGGCTGCCCTCGCTCGGGAGTTTGACCGCTTTGGAAGTATAAGGAATATCGACTATGTTAAAGGGGACAGTTTTGCTTACATTCAGTATGAAAGTCTGGACGCTGCTCAAGCCGCCTGCACCCAGATGAGGGGGTTTCCGTTAGGTGGTCCGGAGCGGCGACTGAGGGTGGACTTTGCTAAAGTTGAGGAGAGCCCCTCCCGGCCATTTCCTCCTGGTTACCAGCCTCCTGTCGCGGTACCCTCCCACTATGATCTCCTCGGGGAGGCCTACAGCCGTCATCGCAGCCTGGAGCGGGAGCTGAGGGGAGTCAGGGACCGCTCGTCGCCGCCCTCCCACAGCCTCCTCTCCCAGAGGGAGAGGGAGAGGGCCCTGCTGGAGAGAAACTACCCCACCAGCCCCACCCGTAGCCTGGAGAGGAGAATGGGAGGAGTGGAAGCATTTGGGAGGAGTGGGAGAGCAGCAAGGAGCCGCAGCAGGAGCAGGGAGAGGTGGCTGAAGGAGAGGGAGGAGAGGAGGAGCAGGAGGAGGAGCAGGAGTGTGTCCACTGACAGGCTGACAGAGGAGAGGGAGAGAGACAGGGAGAAGGAGAGGGGGAGGTCGAGGGTTCGAGGTCTGGGTGGGGCTGTCTCTCCTGACGCGAGCCCGGACAGAGCGCGTGTTCGAGCTCCTGACTCCACCACAGAGCCCAGAGACCACTCCCCCGAGAACGGCGGAGGAGGGCGACACTCCGCCAGCAACGAAGAAGATCCACCATTTGGCCGCCACCACAGCAAGAGGTCCAGCGAGCATCTCAAAAATCATCACCATCGAAACAGCGAGGTCATCGCCGCCGTCTCCCCTGCGATCCACACGGACACCCACACCTCCTCCTCTCCCAGCACGCTGTCAGAGTTCGCCCAGGCGTCGCTCTCCAAATCGTGGCACGGCTTCTTTGCGCTGAAGAACAGCAGTTTCCCCACAGACCTGTACATGCTGGAGGGGGGCTCCACGTTCTTCAACACGGTGATGAAGGACACCCTGAAGCTGCAGAGCCAGAACCAGCCCAGCCAGCTGAAGATCGCCCAGAGGCTCCGCATGGACCAGACCCGACTTGACGAGGTGTCGCGGCGCATTAAACTCGGGCGGCCTGATGGGTTCGCCATCCTTTTGGCTCTCCAGGGCCCCATCGACCGCCAGGCCCCGACCCCCGAACCAGGCCTGCAGGCACGCTTGCTCCGCCACCTGGTGACCTACCTGCGGAACAAGGAGGCCGCTGGAGTCGTGAGCCTGCCTGCTGCAAAAGAGGGGGGGCCTGGGGCCATGCTGTACGCCTTCCCACCTGGAGTGTTCTCACAACAGTACCTGCAGGCCGCCAAAAGGACTGTGGGTAATCTGGACGAGGAGCACATGGTTATTGTGATCGTCAATGACACTAATTGATTTTAACACTGAAGAGAACATACATGTACAGACACTAAAGGCATGCACACACACACACACACACACACACACACACACACACAGCGAGCTGAGAGGAAACTCGCCCGACGACAAATACTTCCATGTTGATTTCACAACGATGCATTTTATTGTTTTATCCAGTATCTTAATAATGAAACACAGCAACGTACACTACACGTCTCTCTTCTACTCTTCCTCATTTATTACTTCATGTTTCCCTCACGCTGGCGATCGACTGGTCGTGACATTTACAGGCAGTTAAGGACGATGTTACATCACCGGGGGAATTAAACGTTAAAATGGTCTGTGATGAAAAACACTTAAAGGAGAGGGGACGTTAATGAAAGGCCTGCCGCACACACAGGCAGCGCTGTTGCTTTTATACTCTAAGCTGTAACATACGACACTAAATCTGAGGGTTTGTTTATATGCTCGTTTACTTTATTTGTGTTCCTTTTATCAGAAGTCGTTCTGTATATCCAGTATATGTGGGACTGGGAGGTTTTATACCAAGTGATTGTACTGTAAACTGAGTGGGAAAGTGATGCCAGCTGAGTCTGGCTCAGGCTACTCCAGTTTGTGTGCTCTACTGGCTTCTACTCGCAGGTTGAGACTGTTGTGACGTGGTTTTATTTCTTTTTGTTAAAAGCACCAGCCGCCACAGCCAGTAGAGACAAAAGTGAATTTCCTGACCCGTCCCTGTGACTGTGTATTTTACATAGGTAGTGTTTTATCAATTGAACCATTCCAGTTTCCTTTTTGTTTTGAGAGTTGTGAGCGTGTCAGTTTGGTCTGTCGTTGCATGCAGGAAAAGAGAAACAAAAAAAAGAAGCTATATCTTGTCTGTCTTTCAGAAACCTGTCGTCACTTGAGATGTTTCAGTTTGCTGGAGATTCGTGTTCCGCTGTCATACTGGTGCGAGGTCTGTTCATGTTACTAGTTCGGATTTTATATTGCATAACGGCTTTTATTCAATTTTAATACATGAATCCATCCATCTATCATCCATCCATGCTCCTGTCTCTTTTCATCTGCCGTCACTGTAGCTTCAGTCATGTCTACCTGGTCTCATAGTGCGAACGTCATTTACAGGGAATTTTGGTGTAGAAACCACAACAGTTGATGCTTAAAGTGATTGCACCGACTTTAAAGGGAGTGTTTGGATTTTTTTGAAGTGGGGTTGTATGAGGTATTTCTCCATAGTCATTGTGTTAAGCTGCTGTCCCACTGCACGACAAACCTGCTAATATCTGGCTTTTTAATGCAGTGGGAAAGGTTTTAATCGGCATTCACACCGGGGTCGAATCACTGCAGTAGACACGTGTCGCCTCAGACTCCGAACAGCATTAATAGGAGGGGTCATCCCTATGTTTCCCGGGTTCTATGTTCCCCACTCAACCAAAAAGGGTTCTGTGTTTCCCGCTTGGTTGAGCAGGGAACATAGAACCTGGGAAACACAGATACGCTCCCTAATAGGAATCACGTGAACGTGCTAATTTCAGCTCCTCTACCGGTGAGCTGCAACAAAACACCGTCTGTCTCCACACATGCTGCTCTAAAAACATCAATCCAAATGGGTCTGCACCGAGTTTGAAAGAGAGACTGAATCACAAAGAGATATAGAAACAAGTAACCTACTACTGTTTACCTGTTCTCCGGCCTGTCCATGACGTTGAACGTGACACACCAAAAAAAAAACCACACACACAGAAAGGCAGACTCGTCTGCTGCAGAGCCGCTCTGGTGTGCTGGCAACAGGAAAAGAGTCTACAGCCTATTTTTAGTTGGTTCACCTGTGTTTTGAAAAGGATGTTGCATTTGTAGATGGTGGTCAGTTTGGAGAAGCAGACAGGCGTGCAGCCACAGAAGCTAAGCGATGTACTGCTGTGGACGGGGGCAGCAGCTAAACATACTCTAGACACTGAAAAAAAAATCAGTATCAGTTTAAATGTACGCTCTGTTTAAAATACATTCATCGCTCTATCTTGGCATCAGACAGCCTCTTTGACGAGGAGCTGACGCTGTTACATTGCTCTCTTTAAGCCACCAGACGCCATTGACAAAAACATTTTTCCTCACGGGACACGGGACACGGGACATGCTCGCCTGTCGCTGCCTCGATAGTTTGTGTTGTGTGACTTTGGTGAATCCAAACTAACCTATTAAACAGCAGAGACACACAGCACACACAGATGTCCCGTCAGGAGAGGCTAACCAGGCAAAAGGGGCCCGATGACATAATGCTGACACATTTTGCAGTGATAGCAGTAACCTAGGCTCGCTGTTACTGGTGTTACATGGTGTTTGGGCATACACAGCTTACATTAATTGCCAAACGCCCCGGCTGTCATATTGCTTTTTTAAATGAATGCTTAGTGTGACGATGGCTGCACTGAGTGGCAGCTCAAAATATTATGAGTGAGATTTTCTCATCACGTGATGAGCGTAAGGAGAGTTGACAGACAAGACGATGGTGGAGAAGTTGGTGTCAAAGCAAAAACTAGGAGGCTTCTTTGCAGACGAAGTCAGAGGTAGACCAGTGATCCTAAGGAGTCTGGTGGCTGTAAAGAGAGAGCATAGACGGATACAGCGGCTTCAGTCTCCGTCAGAATCTCTGTCTGACAGCGAGGTAAAGTGCTGAAGTGTAGCTTACACTTAACGTGACACTGATTTGTTTTTTAGGTGGCTGAAATATGTTTTGTTGCTGCGCCCGTCCACAGCAGCACCTCGCTGAGCTTCCACGGTGGTGCTGCAGCCTGCTTCTCTAAACTCTGGGCGTGTCGACTGACATATACTGTAGGTAATACTCTGACTGTTTTAGTGCCTTATACAACCCAGTTAAAAAAAATCCCAACTGTCCCTTTAAATTTCCCTCAAAGCTCTTTAATTATCTCCAGAAATATACAAGCAACACATGCGTGCTGATTTCAGTCAGACTCACCTCAGGCTAAATCTTTTCCAACAGCTGCAGAGATATGTCTTCATGTCTTCAGCATTAATCTCTTGCGATTTTTGTAACTGAACCGGCGCTGACTTAATTTTTTACCATTAATGTTGAGTGAATGTTTGTGCCAAGATGATGTGTCAGAGGAAAAACACTTGTCCCACCCAGATGATGATGATGAATGAAACCTTAGAGGGCAGAGAAATAAAAAAATGCGGAAATAGTTCTGCACACCTAAGATGGCAGCCGTTCACTTACTCTGTTGTCATGGAAATGAAGTGTTGTTAGTGTGTGACAGCTAGTTGTCACGGAAACAGGCAGCTCTTCACCTCTACATTGTTTATCTGTGTGTTCGTTGCTGTTTGCACCAACCAAATGAGAATGTATAGCTCCTATAGAAGACGTGTGATACCTCATGTAGTCTGGGTGGTGTTGGTGACGTCTCTCATCATCTCAGCTCTGTGCTGCACGTCGGCTACGTTTACTCCATCTGGTGTTTTACTGACGCCAGATCAAGATTGGTTAGAGCCTGAAAATGTTTCCCATTCTGTCACGTCATGAGGAAATTAAACCTGATGGTGTTCAGATTTTAACACTGTCGTCGTTTTTACTTTGAAAAGGAGCAGTAAACACTGCGTCTGCTCAGTGAAGTGAGGACTGAAGAACTAGACGACATGTCAGACTAAAGATTAACATGTTTGTTTAATGCCCACTGTTTGTTTACAGCACAAGCAGCTTACTGTGTAAAAGTCAAGAGGACACAAAACACATCTAGATCTTAAAGGGATAGTTTGAACTGGGGTTGTATGAGGGGTGCTTACCCACAGCCAGTGTATCACATACAGTAGATGTTATTCAGCACATCCCCAGTTTGGAGAAGCAGACTGGAGTCAACATGGAAGCTTATCAGTCTGCTGCTGTGGATGGGTCAGCAACAAAACGTGTTTTAGCCACCTAGAAAATATATATCAGTTTAAGTGTACACTTCTGTGAGACAGCCTGTTCTGACAGGGAGGCATTAATGGCTTCAGTTTCTTATCTACTTGTCAAAGCCACCAGACTCCATTGACAAAAACAGTAATTTTAGCTCACTGGACACAGGAGCCGCTGGTCGACTGCTGCCTCTATTAGTTAGTTTGTTTGTGTTATTGTGTGACTTTGGTGAATGTGAACTAACCCTTTTGAATGCCAAAGCCACACAATAACACAAACAAAACACCTGTTAGAGGCAGCAGTGGAGCAGCAGCTCCTGTGTTCAGCAAATGTTAAATCACTGTTTTTCTCAATGGAGTCTGGCTTTGTAGAAAGTGATGTAACAGCTTCATTTTCCAGTTGGAAATCACTGTCTGACAATAACGTAAGTCAATGAACATACTCTAAATATAACGTACACTTAAACTGATATTGATTTTTTTTTTTTTTTTGAGGTGGGACTTTTTTTAGGTGGCTAAAACTGATTTTGTTGCTGACCCCTTCACAGCAGTAGATTGATTAGCTTCCATGTCTGACTCCAGCCTTCTTCTCCAAACTGGGGGTGCACCACCTGACATCTACTGTATGTGATACACCGACTATGAATAAGTACCCCACACAACCCCACTTCAAAAAATCTGAACTATCCCTTAAAAGAACATGTTCCTGGAGAGCATAGAGTAAAAAACTGCAACTAACTATTACTAATACAGATTCATCTTTAATTATCTTTAAATTAATTAATCATCTATAAAATGTTAGGTAAAACTACATTTTGCCCCCCACAGTCTGCATGTCTGAGGTATAATTCAAAATGCTTTACTTAAGACAAGAAAGGAATTCAGAGAACAAAAAAAAAAAAAAAAGTCCCAAATTTGAAGTAATTTAAGTAATATCCAGTTGTGTGCAGGAGTCCGTGTCTCTGTTGTAAATGGACATCTTAATGTGGAGCCTAGTTTTCATTCTTTGGTTCTGTCAGGCAGACGGTAGACAGAAAGCAGCTTTTGGACGGCACAGGAAAAACAAACGATATAATGTCAGGACAGTAAAACTAAACATGCATGACAAATTGTTGCGATGGTGATGCCGACTTGTTGACAAAGAATGGAATAAAATATATTAAATGAAACTATTTTGGGTTTATTATTTGATGTAATTACTCCAGTAAGTGTCCAGGAGCTACGCAACATCCAGATGTAAATCATGTCATGGGTGGACGGCAAAGAGCTAAGATATTTAAACCTTTGATACCATTGTTGGTATTTTCTGCCACCTTTCATTATTTTACTGCTCTGCTCTGAAATGACATCCTGTTTCCTGTCGACCGTCTGCCTGATCCCATGTGAACGCAGCAGAACTGCCAGTGCTGGAAAGTAACTATTTTAATAGTATTTGTACTTGAGTATTTCCATTTACGCCTCTATTACATTTGTACTTCGTACTCTGCTTTTACAGATTATTTGACATAGAAACGCTTGCTGGTAAAACAGTGTGATTTTCAGTGAAAAAAGTGCCCTGGTTATAAAGTAATATTCGTCTGGAAATGAGTCGATAAAGTTTTCCTTTCATATAAAAAGTGAAACATCTGCAGCATCTGTAGCACTTTAATCTGTTTTCAGTAGAATTCATCTCCCAGCTGGCTGACAGCGTCATTAGCAGGGTTGCAACACTATGAAGTTTTTATAGGCTCAGAAAATATTGTGGTTTCACGGTATCCCGGTATTAAAGAATTGATCGTATTATCAGTCAGAATGAGCCTCAAAGGAATGAAAGCAGAAGGGTTCAAATCATTTTGTGTTTGTGTAAAAAGTCTCCCCTTTGAAAAAAACTTATAAATAAAAGGGAGATTCAACATTAAGTATAATATTTTTTCCAGTATCGTAGATAAGCAAACGTACACGGTAAATATCAGCTTTTATATCACGGTGTACCTTAAAAACCCCGTACATCTCTGCAACCCTCGTCATTAGACGTTGATATTTCGTTGAATCGAGGTTGTTTCATCGTGTGACCAAAATTCAATGTCAGGACAACATCATCAGTTTGATGTAGAACACTGACGACAGATGATGATGATATTTTGATGGTATTAAGTTGCGGCGTTAATTAACTAAAATCAAACGTCAAATGCCAGCGTCACCATGACGTAATGACATTTAGTCGTAAGCTTTGAGAGAACAAAACACAACGTCTGCAAATCGCGACATTGTTAATGTGACATATTTAAAATATCATCAACCTGATTTTCATTCCAACCCAAATTTAACATCTGTCCAACATTTGAGTCCAACGTCTTTCTGACATCGTATGGTCGTCCGGTGCCAGCTGGCTAATTTCACCAATTAAGTGAAAATCAAATATTTCCAAACCTTTAATGCAGCAATCTGCTTTATTTGCTCTGGATTGATTGAAGACACAGACACTGCTTTGTAGAACATTTATAAAACAAGTTGATTGAAATCGGGTTGAAATATTCTCACTGCAAAATCAGGTGTTAGGACTGAATCACAAACAGAAATGATTTTATAAGAGTGAGGTTTTGCAGATTAAAAAGCCCAACACTTTAAAAAATAGTTAAAATCAGTTCCGCCTTGACATCTGTGATGATATTCCTAAAATATATATATATAACACTACAAAAGGGACCATTCTCATCATGAGCACTTCTGATATTTTAAGTATAATTTGCTGCCAATACTTTTGTACTTTTAAGTAAAATTTTAGGGCTTTCACTTCATTTTTACGTTGTAGCATCCTGTTTCTGCTTCTTTCACCACCAATCTACCATTTTAAATTCTATTTTTTCCATTTTCACCTACTGTCTTAAAAGTACCTTTGATTTTCTTTTTTCTTTTTGTTTAAGCCACCACAACACATGCAGCTTTTCATTTGTGTCGCCTTGTTATTGGTCTGAAAGTTGCTCCATCCACATCCAGCAGTAACGGCTTGAATGTTTTTGAATAATAAAAACAAATATGTTCACGTGGAGAGTTTGAAACTGTGACGATAATCAGCCCGAAAAGCTCCTCATTCTCCTGAAACAGAAAGAAAAAACAAAGACTTCAAAATAAATGTGTTCATGTAACATAACACGTCGCTGAATGTTCATCCCGGCACCAATCGTATAAATGTACCAGTTTTGTACAATATGCTGTTAAAGAAAATAAAAAATACTTTTTATATCAAGCTCCCCCGATGAACGACACGTCGTGAATACACTTCCCTTTTCCTGTCTCCTCTAAACTGATGGTGTTGCTGTGTTATGACTGATGATGATGATGTTACACAGACCAGGCGGAGTTTAAATCCATGACGACAATCGGTTTTGTACACAGACTCCCTCATTGGTTTTGTTTTCGTGTCGACATAGAAACATGTATTCTGTATTGAAAGAAAATGTAATAAACATTTTATGCTCTTTCCAAGACTGGACGGCGTGGTGTTGTCTTTCATACTTTTTAGTTTGTTATATGAATACACAGTACATGGTCTAACATGTCATGTCATATATGTACTGTCTTATATTCACCTGTACAGATCTTCCTTACTTGTAATATATACTATATATGTACATATTTTTTAAATCTACAACTGCTACTTAAAAGATGTATGAAACAGGTGGCTCGATGTCTGTTTGGGTGTACGCTGAAAAAAATCAAAATCCAGATCAATGCTGAAAATGGTTTATTATTATTCTGCCTTGTTTTTTGGTGCTCTTCTCCTTCCTCATTTTTAATGTAGAAACTTTATTTAACATTAACATAAAAACATTCAGCTCAGTCATGAAATCCCGGCTACTAATTTTATCACTCATAGGTTTTATACTTGCAGTAAATATTCAGTGTTTTCAGGAAAAATACCACGATCAAATAAATGGATGGAATATTCAAAATGGAAAGATTTTCATGATTTTTAAACTCTTACGTATTCACCCATACTTTCAGCGAGAAACTTTAAAATGTTCCACATCTTTCATACATCATGGGTCTTATTCAGTGTTTGAAGTCAGCAGTGCAGTGTAGCATCAGATTTGCAAAAGAAAAATGTAAACCAATCATGTAAGAGATCTGAAATATTTTACATTTTCTTTTGCAAATCTGACGCTACACTGCACTGCTAGCTTTAAAAGATCAGTAATATCCATAATGTATGAAAGACGTGGAACATTTTAAAGTGTGTGTGGAGTTTCTCGCGTAAAGTATGATTGAATACATCAGAGTTTGATTTTGAACCTTCCATCCTTCTATTTGATTGTGGTAATCTCTTCATTGGTGTTATTCAACTTTTTGATGACATTCATACAAATTGAATCCATTCCCACTTTCCTAACTGTTCCTACTACTTCACTTCATTAAACATTTAAACAAGCAGTTCAGTGAAAAGTCAGCTCTTCAGCATCCAGCGTTCACTCTGCAATTTCTTCAAGAAATGTTTGTCGTTTTTGTTGCTGTACAACACGTCTTTTTTATACTGAATGTTTACAGACCTTTTTTTTTACATCCATAACTCCTAATAAAAAAGCTGTTAAATAATGCCCGTAATGTATGAAAGACGTGAAACATAAACCTTATTTATAAAGCACAGTTACAAAATGACTAGTTTTATAGTACAATAAAACTAAAAAAATTTAAAACACAGAGAATAAAACAAATAACATGTCATTTAGTAAGAGATAAAATAATAACTGGGACATAAAATCTAAAAAAAAAAAAAGAAGATGGCAATAAAATAGACTGACAGCTCAGATAAAATCAGGATATGCTGTCAGACAGAAATACATTTTTAGGAGAGACTTAACGAAGACAGTGACTCAGACAGCCTTATGTCCTCAGGCAGGTCGTTCCAGAGCCTCGGGCCCTGATTGTAAAAGCTCTGTCCCCATTGGTCTTCAGTCTGGACTCGGACACGCAGAAGACCTCTCAAACTACGCAGAGGTTCATAAGAGACTAACAGGTCTGAAATGTATTCTGGAGCTGTGAAGAGTCTAGAGTCAGTCCTAAAACAAACATGGAGCCGATGTAACGAGGCTGAAACTGGTGTGATGAGACAAATCTTAAAACGTACATGTTTTCAATGGCCTCTGGTTGTTTAGTGGTTTTAATATTTTAGTATTTTACTATCTTTTTTATGTGAGTAATTGTTCCTACAGGTGTTGTTCTGTTTTATATTTGTGTACATGTTTTATTGCTATATATGTGTGTGTCATTCTTTAAATTTTGTACTTTGGTCAAATGTGGCTGCTTTTAAATGTGCTATATAAATAAAGTTGATTTGATCTGATTATTGCACCTCCTCCCCCTTCATTAGTAACGAACACTCCCTCATCTTCCCTGTGTTCTACTGAGCTTCCTCCAGTGTGTGAAACAGCGCCCCCTCTGGATTGTAACGGCAGGTGATGGTGGTCAAACCTGGAGTCTGCAGACAGGTGAGGACAGGTGAGGTGTGCATCCTCTGATTGTAAAGTTATTAATTATCCAACAGTGTGGAAACAAACTCTGCAGCTGCTGAAAGAAACTCTGAAGAGATGACATGACGTCAGTCAGTCAAACTTCAACACAGCCAACAGCATTTAATGTAAACATCCGGGAGAGTTAGCCTGATGCTAATGATGTTAGCTTCCGTGTTACAGCTGAATTTAGCTGCAGTGGATTCAGTGGATAAATATAGAGAGACACAACACCCTGTTTTCTTTGTTTGTTTGTTTCACAAACAAACCAGTCATATATCACATACTGTAGGTTGTGTATTTTGTCACAGTGTGCTGTATATTTAACCCCTTTCTGTCTGACAGAAGGTCAGTGTTCATCAGTGTTTGTTTATTTAAACTGTGGAGTCGTTTATAGAGAGAAGTGACCTTTAATGAGCCAGAACAGGTCTGGCTGATTGTTGTGTTTAATGCATATAAATAACAATGTCAGTCATGTGTTTGATACATGCATACCCTTTGATATGAAGTGAAAATGTAAGATCTCATTGCTGATCTGTACCTGTTGTAGTAGGCTACTGTAATAATAATAATAATAATAATAATAATAAAAAACCTTATTTGTAAAGTGCTTTGCAAAACTAAGTTACAAAGTGCCTCACATTGTTGATCCTGAATTTAAAACAGATTCAAGCAAATAACGCGATGCGTTCAAGAAATGACATGACAGAAGCAGAGAAGCAAAGTTGGCAACTAATTGCCCTGTAGGTTGCACTGACGTACAGCAAATCAAAGAAATGGAATAATACAAAAATGATATAATACAATAAAACATAAATGAAATTAACAGTGTGCTAAAATTAAAAAAAAAAAAAAAAGCTTTTTCAAAGAGAAGTTTTAAGAAGTGATTTAAAGGTGTCACTGATTCAGCGTCTCAGATCCTCAGGCAGGGAGCTCCAGAGCTGAGGGGCCGCGGTCACCTTTAGTTCTGAGCCCAGACTGAGGATCTGAGGCTGCGACCCGGCTCCTATGGAGAGGCATCTCAATATGAAGTGTTTTAAAAGTGAGCAGTAAAATCTTAAAATCAGTTCTACAGCTGACTGGTAACCAGTGAAGAGGCTGAAGCAGGGCTGATGTGCTCATGATTTCTCGTGTTTGTTAGAAGCCAAGCAGCTGATTTTGCACCAGCTGAAGCCGTGAGACGTCTTTTTGGCTCGACCCTGAATGTAGTGAGTTACAGTAACCTTGCTGTGAAGAAATGAAAGCGTAGAAGACCTTCTCAAGATCGAGCTGAGAGAGAAAGGACCTGATTTTAGAGATGATTCTTAACTGATTCACTGATTCACTCATTCAATTGACAAATTAAAAAAAATCTTTTTTATTGAGTAATTTTTTCTGTTTTTCATGGTAATTTTTTTTTCCTTTTTGTTTTGTAAGGTGCCTGCGTAAAGTCGACAAACTAATGATAACACCATCTATATGACTTAAAGACAAGAGTATCTCTCAGTGTCTCAAACCCAAAACAAAGTAAAACTGGATTAAACTAAACAAGCGGGTCATGTTTGCTTCCATTATATCGAGCTCTCAAGAAAGGAATGAAAGCGTCTGTTGTTCTATTGCTCTCTTAACTCAGAAAAAAATACTCAGAAAAACAGAAAAAATTACCCAGAAAAACAGAAAAAAAAATTACCCCGAAAAACAGAAAAAAATGCCACGGAAAACAGAAAAAAATACCCTGAAAAACAGAAAAAAATACTCAGAAAAACAGAAAAAATTGCCACGAAAAACAGAAAAAAAATTACCCCGAAAAACAGAAAAAATTGCCACGGAAAACAGAAAAAAATACCCCGAAAAACAGAAAAAAATACTCAATAAAACAGATTTTTTTTAAATTTGTCTAGTGAATGCAATACGCTTCCGTAATAGATTACTGGGCAACGGCTGTAATTTGTTTTTCAAAGGAGAAGTCACTGTCAAACATCACACCAAGGTTTCTGGCTGCAGGTTTGACTGTTGCACACAGGAGGCCAGGATGGTTCTGGAGGACAGAAGAGGAGTGTATCTGATTTACTGTGATTTAACTGGAGAAAGTTTTGGGACACTTTATGTTCACAGACAGGATAAAAGATGATTCAGATTGTCTTCTTCACTGGTTTTTAACGGAGCACATATTTCTGTGTCATCTTCCTGCTACTGTATATTATTTTGTTTATATATTTCCATATACTATTTATTTTGAGATGTGCGTTGTTACTGTGACTGAATGTGATCAAGTGTGATACATAACCAGCTCCGGAGCAGGTTAGCTGTTCAGCATCAGTTGCCATGGTGATTTATCCTGGTAAAAAGAGAACCAGGTTTGTAGCACTGAAAACCCAGAGTTAACCCTGAAGTTACCTCGCTAACTTCAAATCCTGCTTCGTAGCACAGGCCTCAGATCACAGCCAGTCGCCCTGACAAGTGTGTCAGGAGCGAACCAAACACACCTTTGCTTATTTAGGTCAGGCCTCCTTGTAACAACACTGTATGCACTGTGTGTCACACAGAATCTGAGATCTAAACAAGCTGGATTTCAAAATGAATGATCTGTTATGTGAAAAGGAAACGTAACATATGTTTGACACACACACACACACACACACACCTGTCTATAATGCAATCTGATGTAGAAGCTGCGTAACAGAAAGCACGTCTGTCAGAAAGACGAATCAACTCTGTGGTTCTTTTAAGAATGCAGTTTGTAGTGTTGCAGTGGATTGCATTATCCTGCACCGGTGTTCACGTTATTTTGTCCACCCCCATCTGTTCCTCACTCTTTGATCTCTGACTTCTAACTGACTCCAGTGCAGCACATGTGTGAACACAGGGGGGCAGCGCAGGCAAAGAAAAGGAAAGCTGCTGCAGGCATTTAATGTTTCCACAGACAGCTGGAGAGAAGACAGAGAGCGTCCACGGCTGAAACATGGAGCCTAAATATGTCTGACAGACTGACAATAACCCTA